CATTTGTTTAATTATAAAGATGTGCTGCTGTTTCACCTTACATGCCTAAGACACCTGGTTGGTCTAATAAAAAGCTGACTGGTTAATAGCTAGGCAATAGAGGGATAGGCAGGGATGGCGGGCAGACAATAAGTAGGAAGAAAACAGAAAACAAGAGGAGGGAGAAAGAAAGGGAGACGCCCAGGGCCAGCCAGCCAGCCAGCCAATCAGACATGGAGTAGGGCATACAGAGTCAAAAAAAGGTAAAAGTCCTATGACAAAATGTAGATGATAATGAAAAACATGATAATATAAATTATAAGAGATACTGGAGCAAATATAAGCTAAGGCTAAGCATTAATTACTGATAATAAGCATCTGTGTCATGATTTGTGGGCTGGAGATTCAAAAAAGCCTGCTAGAGTTTGTGTTCTGCTTTCAACCAAGACCAGACTTTACTTTCACTTGCAAACAACCTTGGTTGTTTTCTGAAACTGGAAAAAGATAGGAAGTGCCTGCTCTCCCCTGAAAATAGACTGTAATCTCCCAGAAGGAACAAGGGAAACCCTACACAACACCTCCACCACAGAGGTGATTTCCAGGCACCGGCAAAGGAAAAGGAAACTTAATCAGAGTCCAAGGGTCTTCCTGAGTTAGAGAAAACAGTCAGGAGGCCAAAGAGGAAAAAGGAGCTATGCATCACAACACAAAGGCCCGGGAGTCTCCAGAGCTGGCTCCTCTACTCGTTGGCCACACACTTCTTGGTGTGCACATCAGAGTCTCCAGGAGGACCTACAGGAACTACTAAGCAGAAACTGAGTCAACAGAGAACTGCAGACAGTGTGTGTTTCCACAGCCAGCGTGGGAAGAACGCACACAAGGCACTGAGAAGGTTTTGCCTTAACATACCAAATCACTGCTAGCACAAAGGCTGCTCTGGACCATCCTTTCAAAGCACACACTGGTTCCAAGTAGACAGGAAAGGCGAAGCCAGAGTCCCACAGAGCTCATAGCATGCTCCAAGGCAAGTACTAGGGCAGTAACTACACTCCACAGCAAGAGTCACAATTACGAGGACCTTGCCCAACACAGCACCCAGAAATGAAGATACAAGAAGAAACAGATAAAATTGTCAAATATTTCTAATAAACATACTCTAGATGTTTGAGGAGGCACAAGGGCACTGTCCCAGGGAAGAGAAAAATGGGAGGCATTAAAATAAAAATGGAACTTCTGAAATGAAAAGTAGTCTCTGCAATGAAAGATGTTAACAGGAGATCAGGCAATGTAAAAGAAAGATTAACAATGGGAAGACACAGCAATAAAACTTTAACATGAGCAGAATGTACTGTAAGCGGCCTGTGGAAAGGTATCAAGAAACATGAGAGACATTCTGTAGTTGAAGAAAGAGACAGAACATAAAACACATTTAAAGGCTAACACCTAAAAGATTCTCCAGTTTAATATAAACTGTGAACCCACAGATTCAAAAGTCTAACAAATCCCAATCAGAATAATAACCAGGAGGATCGCGTTGAGAACATCGTGGTCTACTTGCTGGAAAGCAGAGAAAAGAGAAAAACTATTTCAGTAAACAGACATTATGCTCAAAAAATAAAGATAGGAATGACACCAGATGTTACAGAGCTGAAGATGACAAAAAGACATCACTGGCAGGGCAAGGTGTCAGTCTCCAAGTCTGTACCCAGAGAAGCATCTTGCAAAATTGAAGGCAAAACCAAAATCTTTGTGAAATCACCACCACCACCACCAGCAACAGCAGCAGCAGCTCTGTCCTGAAAGGACTGTTAAGGGAGTTTTGTTCAGCAAAAGGAAAATGGTATTAGAGACTGGTGTGCATAGGAGGAAAGAGGAATTTGGAAGCAGCATCAACCTGGGTACCTGCAACAGACAGACTTGCCTGTTGAAATGATAATAAAACTCACAGTGCGAGTCAAATGCACAAAGTATGGCAGGTAAAATTTGAGTGTGTCTTTGTCAAGGTTCTCACACATTTACACATGTACAACACTGAAGACTGACACTTTACAGTACTAAGGAAGGCCTGAGGTGAGTAGCAGAAACAATACAGTAGAGATAGAGATACGGGTAATAAAGCATGGGAGAAATAAGACTCACAACAAACAGAACCCCACCTCAGTCCTAAAGAAGGCATACAAAGAGGATGGGGCACAACAAGGACATCTTTTTTTCCTTTGAAGAACAGGACAAGCAGGGGGATAACTTTAGTAACATTCCCATCGGATGCAATATCAGCATCTTTAAGACACGCCCTGCCATACCCACATGCACATCTTCTTTCAGAAACCCACTATAAATATAAAGATGCCAGTAGTTTAAAGGAAAGGGAAAGAACTGACATGCCACGTAGACTGTCATGGAAGGAATGCGGGATGGGCTACAATTCTCACAAAGGAAGTTCAGAATAAGAAACAGGCATGCTTCGTAATTTGATATAACAGTATGTTTAAACCTAACATCAGAACTTCAAAATATATGGGAAGGGAGGGAGAGAGGGAGGGGGGAAGGAGGGAGGCAGCATAAATTGAAAAATTAAATATTCCTCACTTGACAGAACCAGACAGCAGTCAGTAAAGACCTGAATACCATCAACCAAACTGATCCAACTAACATTCACCAGGCAACAGTGACATATGTAACAAACACTATCTGAGCAGACCATATATTGGACAATATATGAAACAGACTGAAATTGTACTTCTCTAACCAACAGAGTTAAACTAGGTATCCATAGAACAAAGATTAGCTGGGAAACTCCATATATCTGAAAAATAATAAACATATTTCCAAATGATCAATGTGTCAAAAAGAAATCACAAGGGAGAGAGGTTGAGACAGGGTTATGAGACGCTGGGCTACATAGCAAGAGCATTCGTTCTAACTGAATACAAATGAGAGTGCAATTTCCCAAAACTTGTAGGATAGCTAAACAAAATATAGGTTTATTAACAAGTTCATCTTAGTGTATGTTCAGGCTGAACTGATTGGCTTTGGCAATTAAGTGATAAAATATAAATACTTGTTATTCATTGTTATGTAAAAAGGAAAAAATTACCAGTATCTATTGAGACGTTCCTTAAAAGCCAAGAACTCTGTTGAACACACATGAAATTCGGTCCTCAATCTACAGGGAGCATGAAGAGCCTGTACCCAAACTCCAATGTCACGGAAAGCATTCACTGGGGCTGTATAAATGACTGGAACACAAATCCTGCAGGACACTGACCCAGGAGACTGCAAGTGGCCTGGAAATGGACAGAAATGTGGGTGCAAACAGGGCTGGTCCCAGGCAATGGCTCACCATGAGCAGGAGCAAAAAGCAGGCAGGCTACAAGATCAGGCACCAGTCTCCGTGAGCCATAGAGATCACGAGGCCAACAGCTTGGGACGTGAGGGGCTGGAGGAAGTCACAGATTCAAGTCCTCTATAAATCCTCTGCTTCAGTGTGATCTACGGTGCACTGACAACATGGCAGAGGCCAATTTCTCCACTTCCGTCTGGCCCACCTGCTGAATGACGTGGACAAACTGATGGCTGCCTGGGGGGGGGCAACTGCACCACCCACATCTGGATGCACATGCTAAAATAAACGGTAGTGAGAGGTGGCTGGAGGCACCAAGAGAGAGGAGGCCCTAAGAACTGCAAGGTGGGCCATAGTAGCTGATCCAGAATAGACGGAGCCAGGAAGAAGCCAATGCGACCTGAATCCAAAGCACAGAGGGCAGCTGAGAGAATTCTGACACTTGAGCAGGAGCCACAGAGAGCTGATTCAGGTGCAGAAAGGTGGATATTCCTGAAGAGACCTCAATGTGTACTACAGAAATCCAAGGGAGCCGGGCAGTGGTGGTGTGCACCTTTAATCTCAGCACTCAGGAGGAAGAGGCAAGTGGATCTCTGTGAGTTCACATCCAGCCTGGTCTACAGAGTGAGTTCCAGGACAACCAAGGATACACAGAGAAACCCTGTCTTGGGAAAAGAAAAACAAACAAACAAACAACCAAACAAAAAAGGCATGGAAACATTATGTAATGAACTATTTTACCTAGAAACTAGCACCTATTTTAGAAGTACCTGACCTCTACCTCTTACCCATAATGCTGTCCCATCAAACACTGCATATGAATCTCATCTCTTCATTTCTAGCATCAGTTAATTTCATGCACATGGTAACTTGATCAGATTGCAGCTATCTGTATGATATGAATTAGGGCTCCACATAGTACTACTGCAGACGAATTATTAGTTCACTGTGGAATACATTTTGGTGCTAAACTGGTAGAGTCCAAGAGTGAAGGATAAAAAAGATAGCATGGAGAAGGGAAGACTCATTCCTCACTCTACTAAAAAACAAAAACAAACAAATAAATAAATGGAAATATTAAAAATGCAGCCAACCGAAGTCTAGTCACTTGAACCCAACATACAAACAAACACAGAGAAAACACTGATCTGGAATCAAGCATGATTACAAGGGCTGTGGCCGGGTCTCCAGGAACACACCACCACCTAGGGTGAGCAGGCTTTCTTTCATTCACCCCTGGGAACCCTATCGCCAGCTTGGACTTGACTCACTAAAGCAACAAACAGGAACTCAGCCTTGGTTTGAAATCACATTCTTTCCAAATACAGTAACAGTTTCCAAGCAACACTGGATTAAGTACAATTAGTATTCTTGTCCCTTGGTGGCGAAGGTCTGTGGTGTGAGAATGGGCGGCCTCTCAAACTATCTATTCTGATAGCGCACGTGCCTATACAACTTACTCAGCCACCCACAGGAACTGGGAAATGGCAGCCACTGTAGCTTTCAGCCGACACACACCTTTGCCCAGAATCAGTTTTTCAAAGCATTAGAAACACTAGCTCATGCCCTGGAAGTAACTTTTCAAGGTCTTTGCTCTGGGGTAAAAACGCAAATCTCCAAAGGCAATAAAAGAGGGGAGGGGAGGGGGGAACATCTGGACAGGTTCCAGAGAACTCACCCGTGCAAAGTCAAACGCGTATCTGTAAATGAGCTTAAAGTTTGTTGTATCGTTTAATAATGATCTTAAGTAATCCAAAGTAGCTCTGAGTTTTTCTGTTGTGTCACATCTAGGAAACAGAATAAAGGTAAATTACAACCTGAGTGGGTGTTTGCTTGTTTTTGTTTTTTTAATTGGAGTAATATAAAGCCAAAAGAATAAAAAGTCAGAAGCTGGACTATGTCCATCATGGCCAGTTGCTTCCCTCACTTTAAATGACAAAGGCACAGAAAGGAGGATCCACAGCAAGCAAACACACGTTTACACACACCCCTCCACGTCTCCGTGCCTCGCATGCATGAGCCTTGTGCTGAGCCACCTGAAGGCCTCGATGACACTTCCCATCAACCCTCATGCCAGCTCAGTGTCCTGCCACGGTTCTCAGCTAGCAAGCACACACTCGGCACCATCTCCAGCTGCTTGGCAAAGCACCTTTGTAGTTGCTTTGGAGACCATTCTAGTTGTCTCTGTAGCATGTTACTCTGTCAAGTAATCTCCCCATGGTTATACATGTTGCTGCTGGGAACACGGTACTGTGTCCTCATGTCCTTCCAGGGCATACTATGAGGAGGCTTGTTACATACACTAAGCTGTTCCCTGTTGCTGAAATGAATTTGTATGGCCGGGGGTGGTGTATGCACTAGATTCTCCACTTATTATTTATTCGTGTGTTCATATACGGGGGTCAGAGGTCAACTTTGGTTGTTATTTCTCAGGGGTTGTCTTCCTTGCTTCTTGAGACAAGGTCTCTCATTAGCTTGCTCTACTGAGTAAGCTAGAATGGCTGGCCAGTGAGCCCCAGGGAAACCACCTGTCTCTATCTCCCCTGAGCTGGGATTTAGACGGGCATGCCACTGTGCTTGGCTTTTTATATGGGGTCTGAGGGTCAAACTCAGACCCTAATTCTATGTGCAAAAAATCAACTGAGCCTTCACCCCAGACCCCGGTGTCCATTTAAAAGTACTTTGCTAGCTTTGAAATACGAAATGTCCTGTGTGATCACACGTCAAGTCTGTGACTACACAGTTCATCAATTTTTTTTTCAGCATACTCCCCATACGCAGACTGCAAATCAACTTCTAGATCAGAAGGACTAGTGTAGTGACACGAATCTTGAGCACAACACAGTGACATTCAGGTTTGTCAGTGAAAGCCCTGCCTGAGCCTTCTGCTAGCGCTCTCTCCTACAGTCCCTAAGGAACGCGTCTGTGGGGAGGGTAGCCACTCCAAGTGCCACCTTGTGTCCTACCCAGCCTCTGTCATCTCACATGCTTCTCCCAGTGCAGCATGTGCAGTAATGCTGGACGGCTGCACAACACCACAACTTATCTATACACAGCAGTTTTACACCCTTGCTAGGGTCGCACCCAAAGGTGCAGTGCAGCAGTTCCTAAGCTGTCACCCTCTGTGAGGAGCTCTGGGCAACACTGTCCTCTCTGTGACTTGGTGTGCTGTTTCTTTTAGTTCAGCCTGTCCTATCTGCTGCTGTCTTTATTCTCTGCAATGCACAAACTGTCCTAGTTTGGACAGTGGGTCCCTGAACTCGTCTGCATCCTTCTGACATGTCCCCACCAATCTCTGAGCATATCCTTGCTCTCTGGCACAGAATGTTCCAGCCCATTTTGTTCTTTCTCTGCTCCAGACTTGAAACCAGCTGTTTCTCCAGGGAGCCCTGACGATGACAAAGTGTTTTTACCAGTAAGTGACAGTGTTTACTTTTGATAAGGAAGCACACTAATTAGTTATTTTTACAAATTTACTTTGTTTGCAACATGTAAGCACTAAAGATGAGAACCAGACCAACAAGATGGCTGGGAATAGGGGTGTGGACCACTTGTTGCACAAGTATGCTGAGCCAAGTTCTACCCCTAGAACTCAATGGTACCAAGGATGGATTCCACAATGTCCTTGTAATATTGGTGAACTGTGCTGTACTGTAACGTTGTAATATTGGTGAACTATGCCGTACTGTGATATTGTAATATTGGTGAACTGTGCTGTACTGTAACGTTGTAATATTGGTGAACTATGCCGTACTGTGATATTGTAATATTGGTGAACTGTGCTGTACTGTAACGTTGTAATATTGGTGAACTATGCCATACTGTGATATTGTAATATTGGTGAACTGTGCTGTACTGTGATATTATAATATTGGTGAGCTGCTGTACTGTGATGTTATATTGGTGAACTGTGTTGTACTGTTTGAACTCATTGGGAAGGTGACTCTAGAAGAGGGGTTGACTGCCCTCCAGTCCCAGCCCCCACTCAAACACACTTATGTCAAGTGTCATGCTTGTCAGGGGATAGGCTTCCCACCCTCAATTGTGATAGGAATTAAGGAGAACAACAGAACAGCCCAAATATAAAAAAATAAGGTACCCTTGAAAACTGCTTGATGGCAAAGCATTTCCTTCCACCGGGGGTTACCATGGTTTACCCTATAAATATAACGGTGCCTAAGGTGAGTGAAAGGAGGTGGCAGGGGAGAGGAGCTGCTAGTTCAGCTGGGACATTCACGGGGGAGGGGCCACTCCAGCTGACTGCCTCAACTTCTCCAGTCTGTGAGCAGATTTGGTGAGCAACAATCCGATGATTCTTTTCCTTGGAGGCCCACTGGAGGTGACAATGCCTGGACCACCCAATCAGGAACTCTAGCGGACGCCTTAATGGAACTTCCTAGTCAATGCTGCTGGACTGCTGCAAGCCCCTGACCTAAATTTCCTGATGTTTTTGTTTATAGAAGTCTCACCCAAGGGGACTCCTCTGCCTGAAATTCTGTATCAGGAATCCTGCAGGCTGCTTGCAAAGGGCTTCCCCATCAATTCCACTGGATGGCTTGCACACCCAATTTACTGATGTTTGTTACTTACTATATATTCTTTTACTTTCGTTTGCTATAATATACTTAATAAACTCACACATTCAAAACCAAAAGAATGGCTACCACTCTCATTGTCCTGACCACGTAGAATAGACCTCCACATGCACAATGACACGTGACCCATGTGCCTACACACACCCCAGCTCCCTTTCTCCAGCAACGTCAAAGTTGTTTGAAGCTGTGTATGGCTCCTTGTGCGTCTCTGCAGAGTGTTTATTTGCTAAAATAGATAACATATAATCTATTAATATCAAACGAGTGCTTACTTTATAAACTAAAATATGGTTCAAACTACAGCACACTACTTAGTTTTTATTAAAAGCTGCAAAAGCTCCTTTTGGGGGGGTCAAGTACAAATACAAGTAAGCCCTGCATCTCCCTATTAAAATAATAGACTGTCTAAAATCCCAAAACTAGAGTTTTTATTTTTCAAGAAGAGAACACTCTAGAATGTCCTGTGTTTCTTCCTGATGTTGAAAAATAAGAGATTAAAATTAGATTATTTTAGAAGTGAGAAAAAAGTTTCTTCAAGGGATTAACATGAAAGCTGAGAACTATCAAAGAACTAAACACATGTTCTGGGGACACAGGAAGGATTCTCCCGACGTCAAGAACAGCATATGCAAAGGACCAGTGGCAAACAGAGCATGGCAAGTCCTAAAGCTAAAAACACCGCATCGTGGCGGGAGAAGACACAGAAAGTGGACACGGAGGCAGCATCAGACCTTTAAGTCTCCCAGGGTCCCCTGTGACAGGTTTTACATGGAGTCCTGCAAACAACAGAGGCAACCTCCCACCATGGGAGAGATCACCCTCAACAACTCTTGGAATCTGAAGAGTGTGGGGAAGAGTTGAGATGCTGAGAGTATAGACCTAGTGTCAGAACCCAAATGAGAATGGCAGAGACTAGGAAAACACCCTAGGCAGTGTGGGGGGTGGCTGGGGGAGGTGGTTGGGATGCAGGAATGGCAGCTGGCTTAGTTGGCATTGGGTATAGTACTACAGAACCAAGATCCTATTAAAGAAAGAATTAACAGTGTTATTAATAACGGTGGTGGCTTACAGAGGAGGAAGCCAGTCCTCTTGTAAAGCTAGGTTCCTACTCTTCACTAGACCGGAAACCCAAGGGCCAGACTGAGATGGGATGTTTAGTTTAGTCCCTGGTGAAAGTTTGCTTTCACAGATTCAGGTGCAGGAACCAGAACAGCAAGAGCCGCTGGGGGGAAAAAAAAAAGTAGCCCTGGGTGCTGGGCTGAGCAGGATGAGAAACCAAAATACAGGATCTGTGCCAGCCTGGGCATGACTTTTGCACCCCTAAAGATGCCCCTATGTTTGAAAGATATCTGGAACTTACATCCACTTGTGAGAAATGAACAAATGTCCTATTTTAAATGAGATCAGGTATCAAAAGCACATGCAAAATCCTACCTCGTGTATCCAGTCGGGAACATTCTGCCACAAGATCACTTCCCTATAAACTCAGAATGCATGCCACTGAGGAGACAGGGTTCGCCCTGCCTGGAACAAGCGGTTGCCATCTAGTGGTCATTCAACAAGGACCCTTCCAGGCTGTAAGGTTATATAGCTAAGGGAGAGTGAAGAGACATGCTAGGCACACTCAGCCCAGAGGGCTTTCTGGAAACTGGCCGTATTTCCACCTCAACTGCATATACAGGATAAAAGTCACAAAATTCAGTGAGTAACACACTTCTAAGTACAGATTACTTTCCCCCAGCCCCTCAAAACCTGCATCTCTTCACTTAGTCCAAGCTATTTTTCTAGGCCATCACAGTTTTACACAAAACAGCTACTCATTCTAAGCCATCCCCAAGCTCAAGGCACTTGTAGTCCTAACACAGTCGCACTGTGGGGTAATAACCTCCTCAAGAGCCTGCCATTGTTACCTCCCTGGGGCTCCCCCTCCTTTCCCACCCACACAGGCCACTTATCTGCATGCTGAAATGTTAACCCCCCAAGGCACTGGTGTTAAAATGTGGGACATCCTGCCTAGTGGCTGGTCTCACACCCAGGCACACAGGGAAGAATTAATTAGATTCAGTAGTTAATAATAACCAAAAAATAATAATAGTAAAAAAGGGAGGATATGAAGTTAGGAGGGGATGGGGTGAGGGGCACCAGGGGAAGGTGGGAAGAGTAGTGAATAGCTATGATCAGAGTACACTGTATAAATCATTCACAAGGTTTTGAACAAGTAAATAAAAAGATTACTTTTTAAAATTTTGGAGGTGACTAAGTCATGAAGGTAAAGACAGCTTTTATTATGAATGGGATTAATGTCCTTAACAAAGCAGCGTAAAGAAGCTCATCCATCCTAACCACATAGCCCAAGGCACCCCAACAAGCCAAATCCAAGCTGTCACTAGGTGCCAAAGTCGCCGGAACCTTGGTCTTGGGCTTCCCTCCAGTTTTAACTGTAAGAAATAAACTTCTGTTGTTTATAAGCAACTCTGTGTCTGGTACTTGCTATAGCAATTTAAATGAAGTAAAGTATGTACCATTGCATGTAAATAAATACAGGTTTGTATCATATACGCATGAGTTCCAACTTGAATCTAAAACATTCATGAGCATATTTAATAAAATGAAAATGACCAGCCATGCAGTGGTGGTACACGCCTTCAATCCCAGCACTCAGGAGGCAGAGGCAGGTGGATCTCTGTGAGTTTCAGGTCAGTCTGGTCTACAGAGCTAGTTCTAGAACAGCCTGGGTTATTATACAGAAAAACCCTGTCTCAAAAAACAAAGAAAAAAGAAGAAAATGACCAAGACCTGGGGGAGAAATCTAAACCAGATTTCTAAACAGAAGTATAAAACAGAAGACAAAACAAGTAACAGATAACAAACTACCTTCCATTAGGTACATACAAGAGAGTCCCCCGTGCATTTTCCTGTGGACTTGGTAAATATATCTTATAAACAGAACTTAGTTGATCCAACTACCAGAGTGACTGTATTACTTCTGAACCTTCTAAGAATTATTTCTAAGTTCTGCCTTGAATGGAGTTTGTCTTTGTGACAACTGCACTTAGAATCATCCAGGAAGCATAACTTTCAGTGCCCATGAAGGTATTTCCAGAACAGACTGACTCAGGGATGAACCCCCACCCCACATGCTAGGGTCCTGAACTGAACCAAAATGGAAGAAGGACAAAGCTAAATGCCTGGCAATGTGGTTCAAACACCTATGGGATGGATTACGGAGGAATGTAGAAGAGTCAAGACATGGGTTAGCAAAGTTCTAGCATATCATAAGCAGACCTTAATGGGCAATCCTGGGCCTAAGTGTAGAAGATTAGAGTGTCAACAGAGAGATATACAAGAATGTCTGTACTCAACAGCTCTTGGTGGGGAGGGGGCAGGGAGACGGATAGACAAAGACAGCTTTGGGAAGTGGACTGGAGAAAACCATATTTGCCAAGGAAATGTCCTAACACCTGAATGAGGTTGAATTCAAAAGTAATGGTCTATTTTGTCTAACAGAGGAAACTTCAAGACAGTATAGGCCAGGCACTGGTGGTGCATGCCTTTAAGCCCAGCACTCGGGAGGCAGAGACAGGCTCTGTGAGTTCTAGGCCAGCCTGGTCTACAAAGCAAGTGCTAGGGTTGGCTCCAAAACTACACAGAGAAAGCCTGTCTTGAAAAAATAAAATACATAAATAAAAACCAGACAGTGCAATGTTCAAGCTGTGGCATAGTTGTTGTTCACTGCATTTAACTACATTTACAGTCAAAAGAACAGGGAGAAAGGAGTGTAATATGGCTAGAGCTGAAGACAGCAATGAGGCAGTGTGGCCAGACAGGGGCTTGAACTCTGTTAACAGTGGGGTGAACTAAAGTAAGGCAGGGCTATGACATCTCAAAGCTTACCCCCCAGTTACATAGTTCCTTCCTCTAGCAAGGCCATACTTCCTAAATGTCCCCAAACAGTGCCACCAGCTTGTGAGGCACATTCTCATTCTCTTGTCAGGACACAGCAATGTGAAAGAACAGTCGCTCTCAACCTTCCTAACGCTGTGACACTTCTGTTGTGGTGACCCCAACCATAAATTTATTTTCATTGCTACTTCATAGTTGTAATTTTGCTACTGTTATGAATCATAGTGTTTCATATGAATCATATCTATGTTTTTTGATGGTCTTAGGCAACCATTGTGAACAGGTCATTCAATTTACCTCCCTCCCCCCAAAGAGGCTGTGATGCCCAGGTTAAGAACCATAAGATAGAATCTCTATCTTGTTCATGGGTTTTCTTTATCCATGGTTTTGGCACTTGGCATATCAGTATCATTCAAATGTTTCCTAACTAACATAGTTAGGCTGCACAGGAATGTTCTTAAAAACTTGAAATTGCAATAATTCTATTCTAAAATGATTACCTCCATCTTGGATAAGGAAACCAGTCTCCAAATTTTACACCACAAAAAAAAGAAAAAAAAAGTCATGCATATCAGTGAACCCTGAATTTCTAGAATTAGGTCATAGCCGCCTTCAAGGACCCATCTGTTGCCACCAACTGCACCACACCACCGAACAGAACTTACAACTAAGAACTTGGTGGGCTCCCTTGTCCCCTTAGGATGGAGACGCGGGCCTCTTCAGAAAGTATAGCACTCAGCACTCAGTCAAGGCCTGGCACGAGTAAGAAATTTTGTAAAGGTAAGTGTCTGAGAGAACCTGAGACTACACAATAAAGGGCATCATAGCCTCTAGTTACAAATGAAACTGGACCTGAAAGATGGTTACCCTGCCTCTGAAGCCTTGAGGCCAAATCTTGGCATGGCCATTCCTTCGTGTCCCAAGAAGGACACTTAAGAACAGCTATGAGGTAATCTTTTCAGAAGGCAGCAAGGAAAATGAGGAGCAGGCTTCAAAATTGTAAGGCAGTATTCTCCAACATGACAGACACCATTCCACAGGGGTTTCAGAGACCCCCACAGGCAAGAATGTGTACTTGTAAAAGGATGGTAACTTTCGCCTAACAGTCCTCCACCACAGACAATGCTAGAGAGGAGGGAAATGAGTCAAGAACCAAACATCTTGGCTTTTCGTCCTAGCTTTACTTTCACAAGTCACATAGAGTTCTCCTTCAGCCCCCAGGTGCCTCATTTGGCCATGTTCAAAATAAAGGCAGGCATGTCTTTTTCACACTATGAGGTTCAGAAGGAAAGCAGCCAAGAGGGCATGAGTTAAGGCACAATACACAGTGCAGGTTGGTATCAACAGGGACAGTGACAGAGAAAGCTGATAAACCCACCATGGTTTAAAGAAAATCATGAAACCATTTCAATTACAATTTTAATACAATAAATTTAAGGTCTGTTATTCCTAGTTAGGGAGAAAAGAAAAAGATAAAACATCCCTGGTTCTTAGACCAAAGTCACCCTTTATCTTGAACACCATCTGGATTGCTGTTCCCCTCCCCAACTTCCTCCTTCCTATTTAGCAATTTGTCTTTTTGAATGAAACTCTAAGCGCACACACACACACACACACACACACACACACACACACACACACACACACACACACAGTAAATATGTAAAGCTACTGAGTAAAGTAAATGTATATAAAGCACTAGTTGGCTATTTTCTTAGTCTGGTCCAACATGGTTAGTAAAACTGACTGGATGGACTGAAAATGTAAAATACACACTGAATTTTGAAAATTTAAAGAGAAAGAAAATAGCTTAATTTTTTAAAGAATGATATATGTTAGAATAATGTTTTGGGTATCTCTGACTAAATAAAAGATTGAAACTGTTCATTTTTTTGAAATGTGGCTTTTCTAAAATTTTTCTTTACATATGTGACTCACGTGCATGGGGAAGGGAGACCTATTTCTTCCCAGAGCTACTCCAGAAAAATACTAATGCTCTCTTTGCCACACATCCAATATACAAACACTTCAGTTACTAAAAGGCACCCCATTGTCGTCCTCAGGATGGGTTGTATCGTCTATCTCTGGCTAAAGGGAGGCTCGCCACAATACCAGGCTTCTCTTCTCTCAAACTCTACCACTAGTAGAGTAGTCCCACCACTAGTAGAGTAGTCCCACCACTAGTAGAGTAGTCCCACCACTAGTAGAGTAGTCCCACCACTAGTAGAGTAGTCCCACCACTAGTAGAGTAGTCCCACCACTAGCCACCATAACCTCTGCAGCCCCGGGACTTACTGTAGAGCAGTCATTCCTTTCAGCCATTCCTGCAGAGTAAAATAGCCCATGTTTTGTGCATCCAATTTCCAAGCCAGGACAAGCATGACTACCTGTTAAAATACAGAGACACGGTGACATTTACCACTCCAACATCCTGCAAGAGCTTCTGCTCACAGTGGTCCAGGCACCAAGTTAATCTGGGTTTGACAAACTCCTACAAAATGTAGGTAATATAATAAAAAAAAAACTAGTGATAAAATTATTTTTATTTTGAAATATTAAACTAAAAAAGTCAGTAGGGTTTTAGACTTAGAGGTCAAAACATGATTATTAAATAACAGTTAAAAAATATGTGATTTACAGATTAGCAGGCTACCAAAAAGCTTTCCCCCCATATGTTCTTCAGATTACCCACAGTAGTATTTCTCCTCAGCTCAGAAGTATCTTGTAATTCTGACATGTTAACATCAATTTCCTCAGGTGACCCACATTCTCATGTAAACTACTCATGCTATCAAGCTAGGCTCTATTTAGCCCAAATCTTCAGTACAGAGTAAGCATGAGCAGAACAAAGACACACCAATGCACATGCTAGCATGGATAGGAAAAGTCCAGAAAGCTTCAACCATAGATAAAGAACTTCAAGCAACAAAGGAATGACAGTAAGAACTGCCCAGAGTGAGAGAAATAGTCTTCCCTATGGAAGAGTCTCTCTCTCTCTCTCTCTCTCTCTCTCTCTCTCTCTCTCTCTCTCTCTCTCTCTCTCCCCCTCTCTCCCTCTCCCTCTCTCTCCTTCTCTCTCTCTCCCTCTCTCTCTCTCTCTCCCTCTCCCTCTCCCTCTCTCTCCTTCTCTCTCTCTCCCTCTCTCTCTCTCCCTCTCCCTCTCCCTTTCTCTCCTTCTCTCTCTCTCCCTCCCTCCCTCCCTCCCTCTCTCTCTCTCTCTCTCTCTCTCTCTCTCTCTCTCTCTCTCTCTCTCTCTCTCTCTCTCTCACACACACACACACACACACACACCACCACCACCACCACCAACAACAACAATTAATGAAAAAAAGTCCATGAATTTCATAGAGCAAGGAAGGATATAGGAATGGGTTTGGAGGGAAGAAAGGGGGGAAGGAGGAAATGACATAATAACATGTTTAATAAGCAGGCAAGCAAGAAGGAACATGAATTCACAAACATGAGCACTCATACATATGCATATGAACACACACACATACACACAGGTTGGTTCAACTAAGCAGCCACAGGGGACACTCACACTGGGGAAACAACCTAGCAGTTTAGAAAACTATGTGTTTTTAAGGATCTCCTCCCCCTTAGTAAATAAAGGGAGGCTTAAATTTTGCAGGCCTGATAAAATTTCCTAGCTATGACTAGCAGGAGGCTGAGAGTTAAAATACCTTTAAAGCGCTTGTTAGTGGAGGCAAAAAGGCTTTACAAGCATTGACCTCGACACTTGCTTTGTGGGCTGCATCCAACTGACTGACAGCTTGTCGGGGTTCATTAAACAACACATCTTCTTCCTTAGGGATAAAAAAACACCACTCTACCATCTCAGAACGGAAGCACGGTAACATATACTTGGAAACAACCCAATTCTGAATTTAGTCTTTTAATCTTCATTGTAATTTCACATATCAAGACTGTCTCTATTCCTACAGAAACAGAGTTCCAAAGGGTTCCTAGCTGCCAACAAGGATGACAAGAACAGCTGCCTTTTCTTGAGAACTCCTATGGGTGAGGAACTTCGAGCACTTTCCTTTTCTAGTCAGAATCAATGCCAGGACAGCCCACATAGACAGGCCTTCTGCCTCAGGTTAAATGTTCAGCCCATCCCTCAAATTCCTGCAGCTTAACCCTGGTCTCCCACACTCATCTGACCCGAGGCCTGCCCGTCTTCCACCTCTCCCTTTGGTAACACCTAGAGAAAGCTGCTTCCTGAAAGCCAGAGGTACTGTTTTTTCCTGTACCCACAGATGCCTCCAGGTGAAACGCTAATGACCTGCTCGTCCCCAAACTTTTACACCAAGACGAATAATTTATCAAAATACTTGAACTAAAAACACCTTAAAATAATGTCAAAACACTACAAGACAAAACCCCACATAATGAAACACATTCCAAAGATACCTTAGAGCATCTACTCTTTCCTTGGTGAGACTGTGGGGAGAGAGCAGCCAGAGAGCACAAAAAAGGCAAAGGTAAAAAATGAAAAGGAGGACCAAAAGGTGTAAACTCTCAGTTCCTACTTTATATTGAAAGCACAACACACACCATAGGCACCAGATGTCTTTAAAAGTCTAAACAAAGCAGACAGTCCCTCAAGACCTCTTCCAGACCATAAACTCCTTCAGGATCTGCCATGCTTGTTATAATGGCAGCTATTGTAAAACTAAGTTTGCATCATTTATGAACCAGGGCACAAGTGTGAACACAATTTTTCATTTTAGTGTAAGATATGTGAGAACAAGAAAGGATATTTAACACTATCATGATGCAAAGAACTAGGCAAAAATAATTAAGCATATTAAAAAACTTCAAACTCTAAGGGAAATATTTAGTGCTTTTACACTAAAAATCAGTCACTTTCTGAGCTCAGTTCAATTAGAAGTGAAAGACCTGTGGGAAATTTATGGTAATTACCACCTACTCAAACCTTTATGAATAATTATTTAAAATCTGGAACTCTTTATTAAGTTGAAATAGCTACTGAGGGGGATAAAGTACCCAGCAAACTGTGACTGGTACCACTGTTCATCTGCCACTAAGGGTATGTGTGCCCACACCCTTCTTATAAGCAAGATTAATTACTTAATGTACCTTTTAGATATAAGAAACCTAGCCAGAAAATGACCACAATTATACCACAAGACTTAAAAGGGAAAACTTGGGCTAGAGAGTGGTGGTGCACTGTTGTGGGATATTTGTACACTGTATGAAGATATGTCACAGTGATTGATTTAATAAAGAGCTAAATGGCAAACAGCTAGGCAGGAAGAGGTTAGACGGGACTTCCAGGGACAGAGAAGACTCTGGGAAAAAGAAAGGTAGAGCCTTCACCCAGATATGGAGAGAAAACAGGAGGAGCAAGATGGAAGAGAGTGTAGACTAATATAAATGGGTTAGTTTAAGTTACAAGATGGAAGAGAGGTTCTGCCATGCGGCACAGTGTAGACTGATATAAGTGGGTTAGTTTAAGTTACAAGATGGAAGAGAGTGTAGACTAATATAAATGGGTTAGTTTAAGTTACAAGAGTTAGCTGAGGTAAGCCTAAGCTAAAGGATGAGTTTTCATAATTAATAAGTTTCCATGTCATTATTTAGAAACTGATGGCCCCCCAAAAAATCCAACTACAGTGTATACCTTTAATCCCAGCACTCAGGAGGCAGAGGCAGGCAGATCTCTGAGTTTGAGGCCAGTGTGGTCTACAGAGCAAGCTCCTGGACAATCAGAGCTACACAGAGAAACCCCATCAAAAACAAACAAACAAACAGAAAAACCCCACAAACAAAAACAAAAAGAAGGAAAAAAGAAAAGACCCATTTACAAATGCAACTAGAACCAACACACAACTGCTTCTCTTGTTATTGCCTTACTTGGAGAAGGACAAGCTAGAGGCCAGAAGAGCACTTCATTGTCCTGGGAGGTGGACTTACATTTTCAGGTTCAACACCAATGTCTTCACAGAATTTCTCCATGCCTTCAGGACCCACGACATCGTCAGTTCCTGTAGTGAAATGCAGTGTCACATGAATTAAATTTGATACAGTGTCAAATACAGCTGATAACAATTGAAGGCCATAACTAATTCCTTGGGGGGGGGACATCAAGTAAAAATTGGACAATATTTGATTAAACCCTTAAGGATTAAGTCTTTAAGGGTTCTATTTTGTACTTTCATTTGAATCGTCATCATACCCTTCAACCTTTGGATAAGACAGTCAGTTCTATCTGAGGACAAGGCTATTCCAACAACTTCTTTTTAAAATATCTAAAAAGTCTACATTCTTACTTGGAAATGATACCTATAATAAACACATGTAAAAAATTTAGGATCATTACAAAGAATCACATACCAGTTTCTACAAAATAGGAAAAATGCATTAAAATTTTTTGCAAAGAAAAAAAAAAAAACAAAATCCCACACCTCTAAATTCAACCAATTATAAAGTATTTGAAAAGAATTGTCCATACTAAATTTACATTGATTTTTCCTTGCCATTAAGTAGGACATAATATCTACTGATACAGTATATACATTATATTGTATATTTAGTATTATAAATAAAACCTAGAAATCATTTAAAATAGGCAGGAGATTTTCATAGGTCATATGATCCAAGGACTAACTCATGTGACATTAGAGACGTGAGCACTGTGGAATTTGGTCCCCCTCTAGTACTAGAATCAATGCCCAGAATGTATGATGAGACATTTGTCATTTTGTTCTCTTTTTATGAGTGTGTGTGTGTGTGTGTATGTCTCCAAAGAGAGCATAGCACTTGAGATGCAGTTACAGATAGTTATGAGTAGCATAAATGAGTGATAAGAACTAAACTTGGTCCCCTGGAAACTCAGTCCACCTCTCCAGCCAGATTTTATCCTTGCTATATACTGTTGGGAGATATTCGATCACACTGTGAACCCTGAGTTTGCATTTGCATTAATTAAGTAAAATTAGCCTTGGGTCAGGAGGCTGCGTTAGCAACTAGTTGACAGAAAGTAATCACAGAGCACCAGAGGGCACCTGGAAGAGAGACACAGGAGGTAGTAGGATGGGTTTGGAGGGGCTTAGCTTTTTGTGATTTGGCAAAGTGGAAGCACCAGTCTTTCTGCCAGCAAGGAGAGAGGGTTAGCTAGTTACTACTCAGTCTCTATTAGCTCACAGGTTTTCACCCCAACCTTTGGATCTTATTAATAACGAGAGTGTTAGTTAGAGCTACCTTTAGTGGCAGTGACAGGGCCAGTGCCTGTGGGAGCAGAAGTGTCACCAGGCCACTGCTAGGGAAGCAGAGCTCGACTCGCTGGCTGAGACAGCAGGAGATTAAGTCACAGCCACCATGCTGACATTAGAACAACAATAAACCACCTCCCCACCCCCAGTTCTAGTTCTGTCTCTTCCTGGGACTGCCCATGCCTCCACTTCAGTTCATGTTTGCTCTTTAACTACTGAAATTTGCTCTTTTGTATACCTATCTTTCCCCTGAAATTCTCATCAAAGTCACCCCCATCTTCATTTTATTTGCTCTCTGGAGCAGTTCTTTTCAAGAAACTCCTCCCATGGCTTCCAGAAATTTCTTCTCATGTGGTTTTCCTTCTTTTTCTCCTCTTTTGACTTCTCAGTGGGTCCTTTGCTCATTAAAATGAATGTGTAGTAGTCAATCTCAACTTCTAGTTTTTAGAATAGTGGTTCTCAACACGTGGGTCATGACCCCTTTGTCAAACCTTGTCTCCAAGAATATTTACATTATGATTCATAACAGTGGCAAAATTACAGTTATGAAGTATCAATGAAAATTTTATGGCTGGGGGTCACCATGGCATAAGGAACTATATTAACAGGTCGCAGCATTAGGAAAGTCAAGAACCACTCTTTAGACTCTGGTTCAAAATTTCCAACCACTGAAAGTTTTCAACTACTACCCACCTCTCGTCCTGACCATGGGCAGCACCCACATGACCACCTACTCTGATTCCACAGCTCTAACTAGATAAGCCTTCTCCCCAAAGTTCATTGCTACTGCGTTTCACTCTGTAACAGCACCCCAGAGACACTTGGCCTCTCCATGCCAAGCCTACACACCTAGAAACAAGCCTGGAGTCCCCCTCTCTTTTCCCATACTAGCCTACTTTCTCAGTGTTTCTTGACGGTGCCCCTCCTGTACAGTCTCCATTCGCTGAGACCCCTGACCCAACCTGCACAAAGCTACTAAGAGATCCTCCCCAAGTACAAATCCTCTGCTGGCTTAGAATTTTCCAGCGGCTCTTCATTTCCTAAAGTTAAGTCTTTATCACATCCCTATGAGTTAGCAGTCTCTCTCTCTCTCTCTCTCTCTCTCTCTCTCTCTCTCTCTCTCTCTCTCTCTCTCTCTCTGTCTCTGTCTCTCTGTCTCTGTCTCTCTCACACACACACACACACACACACACACACACACACTTATTTTTCAGCTTTGTATCTTCCAACTGCAAAGAACACGTATCAGAAATACATTAAATAAACACTATCATTGAATGAATAAATATAAGAGAGCTGGGGATACAACTTAATGGAAGAGCGTTTGCCTAGCATGTGCAAGGCCCTGGTCTTTGTAATTAGCATGCATGCACATGCATTCACAAACACACATGCATATGCATACATGGATATGGACACATAGTCATACCACACACACACACACACACACACACACACACAAAAGGTCCCATGTATTAGGGCAACGTGATGGTCTAAGCCAGGAATCTCAGCGTTCAGGAAATAGCCTGGCAGGTCAGGAACCCAAGGCCAGCCATACAGACAAGATGAGGCCAGCATGGGTTCTGTGAGACCTTTTCTCAATAAACAATGAATAGATGGGTGAAATAACCTCCAGAAACACCTACTGACCTGGGTGTGGTTTCACTATGCACTACGTGTGCCAGAAGCCACTGTGCACTTTGTGTCTCAGCCTGCCCGACCTCTCATTCCCCTTCTTCCCTGGATAACTCATTCAACCACTGAGAGGGAACCCAAACATCCCCAACTCTACCTGCAGGCCACATTAACCATGCCATTGTGACTGCATGCAATGCTGGGAATGGTTTTCTCCTCTCAGCACACTGCATCCAAAAGTGCCAGCCATCTTCCCCAGAAGCTCAAGAGCAAGACTTATACAACCTCAGCACTAATCTGGTATTACTTAGCAAGAGTTTAACGAATGAGTGAAGGCATAGTCAGGGAATCCCTGCAGAATCTCCTTGTGTGTGTGGATCCAATAAGCCACTGAGTCCAGGAGAATCTACCCCTTTCTATGTCTGTTTGATCAAGTAACATGTATCAGACAAGTCACGAGTATACGCTGTGGCAGTGCTTGGGATGCAAAAGGGACAGTGGCACCTCAGTCCTGCATCCATCAAGGCAGAAGAGCAGAGCAGTCGCAATAGAGCAACGACTAAGCCACAGGAAAAGCACAGTGTTTGTGCTCCAAGGGTGAACCTGAGCATTCAAGGGAGCACCTACTGTAAAGTCCTACGTCACTTCCTGCCCAAGCCCAGCCCCTTCCTCACAATCTCAACAAAAGAACACATCTTCTCTTTATTCTCAAATGTTCTATGTTCTAAGAACAACAGATGCTCTGTTCACCATAGTCAACTTCCATCTCTTTCTGGGATCTTTTTTTCTTCTTTTTAAATTACATTTACTCCTTTATTTTACATCTTGACAGCAGTTTTCCCTCTCTCCTCCTCCCCTTCTCTCCACCACCTCTGTCCCCCTAACTCTGAATCCACTCCCTCTCTGTTTCTGTTCAGAAAGAGGCAGGCCTCCCATGGATGTCAACAAAGCATGGCATCAAGCTGAGGTAGAACCAAGCTGCTCCTTCAAGCTAAGGCTAGGTAACGTGAGCCAGTATGAGGAATAGGTTTCCAAAAGCCTGCCAAAGCATCAGGGACAAGTCCCACTCCCACAGCTAGGAGTCTCACAAGTAGACCAAGCTATACAACTGTCTCACATATGTAGAGGGCTTAGGTTGGTCCCATGTGGGCTTCATAGCTATTGGTTCAATGTCTGTGAGCTCCTATGAGCCCTCCTATAGACCTAACTATACCAACTTTGAGCATATAACCAAAGGATATACACTTACACCACAAGGACATTTGCTCAACTATGTTCATAGCAGCATTATTTTGTAATAGCCAGAACCTGGAAACAACCTACATGGCCCTCAGCCAAAGAATGAATAAAGAAAAACTGTTTCATTTACACAATGGAGTATTACTTGGCTGTTAAAAACTGATATCAGGAAACTTGAAGGCCAATGGATGGAACTAGAAAAAATTCTGAGTGAGGTAACTCAGACCCAGAAAGCCAAGCATGGTATGTACTCACTCATAAGTGAATATTAGCTGTAATGTAAAGGATAACCATGCTACAATCCACAGAGAGGCTAGATAACAAGGAGGACCCAAGGGGGATGCATGGATATCCCTGGGAAGGGGAAATGAAGAGATCTCCTGGGTTGACTGGGGGAGGGGGAGGATGGGAACATGAGGGATCAAGTCGGGGGTGAGACAGAGGGGGAGAGTTAGGAAAGAGATGTCTTGACTGGGGGAGGGGGGCATCTCAGGGTCAGTAGAAATCTGATGCAAGGAAAACTCCCATGTATCTACAAGGATGTCCCCAGTCAGACACCTGGGACCATCATCTTTATCTGTTTGTTTTTTCTATATTCCTTAATTTTATCTTGACCATGAGAGAAATCAAAAGTTTAGCTAATTTGAGGAAGGAGAGTTGGCTATACATTAATATATGGCCCAAATATCATTTAACCATGAAGATAAAAATGTTTAATTCAGATCCACCCTCTGCCTTCAACTCCCTAGAGATCATCATTTATTAAAGCACTTCTCTAAGTCCCCTTCCCAAATAAGCCCTTCTGAAAAATGTGTATGTATGGAATATATGCATACTAACATCACATTTCTACCTTTATTCGGGAAACACTCTTTGGGCATCCAGCAATAACATAATTT